CTGAGAGGATCATCCGAGGGACACGACAAACAACACACATGAAGAGGGGACTGGATATGGAAACGGGTGCGTTAAAGGACTATGCAACTCTGAAAAACCTGAACTTGAGGAAATGTGGATTGGTAATTCATCCAGATGCACCTTGGCTGGGTGCGTCACCTGATGGGCTGGTATATGACCCGCTTGAGAGACCATCATTTGGTTTGGTGGAGATGAAATGTCCAAATGCACTAAGCTACATTGACTGCAGGTACCTCAAAGTTGATCATGGAACATATACATTAAAGGAAAGCCATGCTTATTATTGGCAAGTGCAGGGGCAGTTGCTTATTACAGGTATGGAATGGTGCGACTTTGTTGTCTGTGCCCATGATGACATGTTTGTTCAGCGCATTTACAGAGACCCTTCTGTGTTAAGCTCCCTGAAACAGAGGTGTGATTTGTTTTTCTTTTTTACATATCTGTCAAAATACCTCTCCATGCACAAGTAACTAAAGAGTACTTAGGAAATGAATTGATGCATGATTTTACAAACGTGTAATTTTATTTTGTAATGTCATCTGATTAAAATATGTGTTACAATTATATACATCTTTTTTACATATCTGCCAAAATACCTCTCTATGCACAAGTAACTAAAGAGTGCTTCGGAAATGAATTTATTTATTATTTTACAAACATGTAATTTTTTTTGTAATATAATCTGATTAAAATATTTGTTTTACAAATTATATATTTTTTGACAATTTCATTTCAATTTTATGTACAGCGAATAAGGACTCTTCTAAGGTGAAAACCAAAATTATTATTTCAGGTGATTATACAGTAATAAACACTTTTACTTCTAAAGCATTAGGAATTGCTTGCCCAGGCTTTAACTAAGGGCTCGTTTTGGTAGTTAACCAAGAGACAGGATACTGTGTAAAGTTGATTGATGCTTCCTGTCAGTGAAAGTGGGATTACTGTACTGAATATCTTGTGCTCCTTCACCCTTCGAATGAGTCGCTCAACATGGACTCTGAGTCTTGCAATAGACTGTGTTTTCCTGACCTCTGGCCCAGACAGTTGTGCTCTCTTTGACAGGAAGGAAGGGATGTGAACCTTGCAGGGCACACAGTCTTCCACAAGGAAACCCTTATCCACCATTACAGCCATTGTTGGTTTTAGAAGAGACACAATACCAGACTGTTTAAGAATCTCCTTATCACTGATAGCGCCTTCATAGAGAGATGATACAAAGGTTATAGCGCCATGAGGGGCCATCCCAATCAACCCTTTAAAAGTGGAGTGAGATTTGTAGTTGGAGAATACCTCGCTCTGAAGGAGAAGAGAGTTTGGTGTTTGACACCGCAGTTCAGTACAATCCAAAATCACTTGTGTATCAGAGTAAGTCTGAAAAACATCTGGCATGTGAGCTTTGACAGTCTCGTCATCCATCCAAATGCCCACAGCTCCAAGCACAGTGTAGAGAAAGTTAGCCCATGTGTTGATTATGCGGCTAACAGTTGATTGGTGAATTCTGAATCTGTGAGCCAGATCCTTCTGCACCAAACCCAATGAGAGATATGTCATAAAAAGGAAAAACTCATCGATGGGTTGAAGAGACTGAAAAGAAGAAAAATATTTTATTTATTACTATCACACAAACACCATAACTGGCACAGAAAGTTTGATTGTAAAACAAAAAAATTATCTTAATCATAATAAATGTTTCAGAATAAATGTACCGTTGCATTGGCAGTGTGGTGAACCTCATCTGTCTTGGCTGCAGTCCGTGCTCTTGTCACGCGCACGATCTTGCCTGTTGCTGGCTCTATCTGCCTCCAAAAGGCCATTAAGTGGGCATGAGTTGCAAACCTGTGGGACATACAACATTTAAGTAACACTTTATTTTAATGTGTTACTAAATGTACAGATTTTGCATTTTATTTATTATAGTGATAACTATAAATTATTAGACATATTACATGCACCTAGCCCTAAGTACATCCAGTTCATTAATATTACTCAACATTTAAATTACAATAACAGGACATTGTCAAATAAAGTGTTGTCAACCCATATTTTATTTGATTGTATGTTAAGTGCCCAAAGACCATTTTAAGTTGCAGATTTATTAGCATACTCATCATTAACATATTCAGTCCTTTTTCAAGAGAGGGATTGCATAAGATTGCTGTTGTTGGTCACTTCTGCAGGACATGTGGTTAGGTGAAGGAAAATTAATGTGTTCTTACCTTGTGAAAAACCGAATGTCATCATCGGAGGCAGCAAACCGCTCCAAACAGAACCTGCTGCTGATGGTTATCTCCTCAATTCGTTTTTGCAGCCTCGCTATTTCCGCGCTTTGATCTTCGGTGTGGTCCAGGCATAAATCCAGGGCAGCAGGCTCAGCACTGGAGCAGTAATCGTGGTCCGAATATTCTACAACATCCATAGAGGGAGCTTCAGTGGGCAATGTTTCTATGTTTGGTCGCTCTACTCTTTCCCAAACTCCAGTCCGTGGGGCAGGAATAGTGAAGTCGTTCCACTGAAAAAGCACCGGGACCGCTCCATTTTTCAGACGTCTGCGTCCGTTTGGCGTTTGCGGCTCGATCATGTCTGTCTTATTGAAATGTCGGCTGCACACTCTAGACTGGTGTGTAATTCTATAATGGTCTCGTCTTATATTAACTAACCATCTCTTCTGAATTTCCTTGCCTTTAGGAAACGTATGGAAACTGAGAAATGTGTTAAATTTTGCAGATGCTGTACACTGCGGCACACAGCAGTGGTGGCTAGAGGTGCTGTCCTCCCGTCTTTGAAACGATAGTCTCAGTCTTTTAGATGCCATATATATAGTTATTTTTATTTAAAATAAAGCAAAAAAAGCATAACCAAAATGACAGGTTGCTGTTTTGTAAATAATGTTCCTTTAGTGTATAGTAAAAGAGTATAGAATCCTACATCAGTTCTCGGCATAGCAGCGCTCTACGATCGGCGGAAGTAATCGAGCATCCTTATATTTCACCGGAAATACGTCACGCACCGCCGTGCATAGAGCCCATATCATCATTTTGTTAAATTCGGTATTTGATGAGCTGCTGTTCCGAAGTTCTCCACTAGGCGGCAGTGCGCTACCGAAACTGACGCGAGTCACGCGAAACCGGCAAACGAAGGAACACGGTGGAGCTCATTCGGATTTCTACACGCCCGAAATTAATAAATAGAGAGAGCAGTATGAGTGAAATAAGGCATTACTTTGCCTACTAAATTAATGAGAATAGTGTAGAAACAGACCTCAATGCACCACTCTGCAAACTTTGCTTTCAATAACGTGTTGCCATGGAATGCAACACATCAAATCTGCCAAAGCGCTCGTCAGTTGCTCATCCTGACTTGTTCAAGAGATCAACTGGTGAGTTCATCATTTAACTGATTTAATTTAGACTTTTATTGAACACCGAACAGCGCACATACATAAGAGCTTATCATTTAAATATGATACGGTAAACACGAAAGCTCAAATCTTCTTGCATGACACGCTAGAACCAATTCAGTTGCCGTCTCATGATCTCATCATTTTTGCAGTTTCAAACAAATATATTCATTTAATTTGAATTAATAAAGCACAAAAGTGATAGTAAAATGAATGGCATTACTGCCGCTGTGGCGACCCATAGAGAGAGAGAGAGAGAGATAAATATTAATAATATTAGCCTACAATTAAGCTACATTTGTCAACATTCACTAAGGAACTTGGACTAACAATATAGCATTGATTAATCTAGATCAATCAGTAATTAAATGACCTAAAAATGTAATATCCTAATAAATGTTTAGCATCATAACATTACTTTTTGCAATGCATTATATATGAACCCAAACACAAACAGTAACCAAACCAAGATGAATCAATGCAATAAATGTTGATAATTCTCTGTTGATGCGTTTACGTCATTTCATTATTCTATTATGTTAATCTATTATTATAGATATTAACCTATTTTAATTGTATAATATCAGTGTTTTTTTTCCCCAAATCAAAATTTTACCTACACATAATTTGTTTATTTTTTAAATTTTAATACGTTTTGTTTTGTTTGTTTTTTTTGGATACTTTTCTTTGCACATATGGTAGTTGCGGTGCAAGCAGTGTTTAATAAAATTGTTTCAATTCACTTAAATTTAGACTTTTTTTTCCCGACTGTGGTATCGATTTAGTATCGAAACCGAGGTATTAGGTTCTGGTATCGTATCGAAGCCAAAATTGTGGTATCGAGCCATCCCTACCGCCAGGTGATGCCCTTCTCTGAGAAGAATTCCCGTAGCTGTGGATCCTTTATGCCTTTCCAGAACTCCTTCAAATCTTGATCAGCTCTCTTGAACGTCTTGGCGTTATCTGAATAAATCACCTTGCACAGTCCTCTTCTTGAGATGAATTTCTTCAACACTAGCAGGAAGTTCTCTGTAGACATATCTGAGACCAGCTCTAAGTGCACTGCTCTGGTGACAGCGCAAGTGAACAGTGCTATATACGCCTTTGTCATGACGTTCCGTGTCTTCACATAGAGTGGCCCTGCGAAATCCACACCAGTGATCTCAAATGGCGGTGACTCTGTTATTCTGTCTCTTGGCAGTGGCGCGGTAGTCTGCTGCCCAGCCCTTGCATTGGATTTCTTGCAGAGTACACATCTGGACACAACCTTCTTCACTACCTGTCGTGCCCTCAGAACCCAATATTTCTCTCTTGTCTGCACTAAAGTGTCTCATACACTCGCATGCATTATCTTCTCATGTTCATACTGCACCAACATTTTTGTGTATCGATGGTTGTTGGGCAAAATTCTTGGGTGCTTTTCACTGTAAGAGAGATCAGAATGCTGGAGCCTTCCTCCCACTCTGAGCAGCTCATCTTCATCCAGAAATGGTTAGCTCTCGGATTCTGGAGTCAGTCTTGGGACATTTCCCTGCTTTCAGCAGATCAATTTCAGGGATGAAACTCTGGTTCTGAATCACCTTTATCCAGTTTTTACTGCTTCATTTAACTCTTCTGCAGTCAGTTCACCACTGATTTTTGAGCTTGAGCGGGTGTTGGAGATAAACCTCTTTATCCAGGCTGTCACTCGAAGCACTGTTTTTAGTTTGCTGTACTTCTCCAGACATAAAACAGGGCTTAAGAAGTCTTGGTCTTGCTTAACAAGCTGCACAGCAATCTGGTATTTGGATCTGAGTTCAGACTTTACCTCATCTTCCTGAACATCTTCCTGAGTGCTTTCTGACTGATCAGGTGACATCAGAACACAAGGACCATTCCACCACAATATGCTCTGCTTCAGGTCCTGCACAGTTAGGCCTCTAGTGGGGAGGTCAGCTGGGTTAAGTTTTCCTTTGCAGTGAGACCATGACTGCGGGTCAGTTAGAGACTGGATTTCTATGACTCTATTCGCTACAAACTGCTTCCACTTATGAGCAGAACCACAAATCCAATGCAGCACTATCATTGAGTCTGTCCATAGTCTGAGTTGTGTCTTGTCTAGCTGCAGTGCCTTCATGAGGCTGTTCCCCAGCCTGGCTGCTATTACAGCACCCATTAGCTCCAGGCGTGGCAGTGTCATCCTTTTGAGTGGAGCCGCTCTGGACTTGGATGCGACCAGGCTTATGGTCACATCTCCTTCCTTCGTTCCTCCTTGAATATAAGCAACTGCACTATATGCCCTTTCACTCGAGTCACAGAACACATGTAGCTTTAACTCTTGACCATCCTGCTGTGGTATGTGTGTTTGGTACCATCGTGGGATCGAAACCTGATTCAGTTGAGGGAGCTCTGAGCACCACTGTTGCCATTTCTTTGTCAGATCAGGTGGTAGTTCCTCGTCCCACTTGAGCCCTCTCTCCCACATTTCTTGGAACAAGTACTTAATCCTGACGGTGAAGGGAGTCAGGAATCCTAGTGGGTCAAAAATGTGAGCAGAAGACTGCAGAACACTTCGTTTTGTGTTATCTTTCTCTTTCAGAATATCAAGCAGCCCTCTGAGGTCGAACACAAAATCATCAGTGGCCGGTCTCCACACCATTTCCAGCACCTTCAGCACAGACCCATGTGATTCTGGTTGCTCAGCACAATCCATCAAGCTTTCCTGCCATTTTTCTTTGAGCTCAGGAGAGTTTGTCATCCATTTACAAAGCTCCATGCCTGCAGCAGACATAATGTTCCTGGCTGTCGTCGTACACTGTATGTGCCTCTGTCACCTCATTTGCACTTGAAATAAAATCATCGACGTAGAGTGAGGAGCTGAGGACTTCTATCACTCGTGGGTGTTCATGCTCATACTGTCTTAAATGCTTCCTAATGGTGGCTGCGAGTAGGAATGGGCTTGATGAAGCTCCAAACACCACTCTCGTCATTCTGAGCATGCGCAGTGTCACATCCTTCTCCTCTGTTGGTGGTCCTGTGAACCATAGAAATCTTACAGTGTCCCAATCTCTTTCTGAGAGTGAAATCTGCAAAAATGCTTACTTGATATCTGCCATATATGTGATTTTATGCAGTCTAAATCTGATAAAAATACTCATTAGATCTGGATTCAGATTGGGACCTGTTAAAAGACAGTCATTTAGTGAAGGACTTCTATCTTCGTGGGAGGACGCATCAAACACAACCCGCAGTTTCGTTGTCGCTTTATCCTCTCTCAATACCGCGTGATGGGGTAAGTAGTATGTCTGACTGCCTTGTGATGGTGCATGCTCCCTTGGCACATCCTCAGCCATTCCTTGTTTTAAGTAGTCCTCCACAACTTCATTGTACCTGCTGTAGAGTGTGACATCCTTGCTTAGTTTCCTTTTCAAACTCTCAAGTCTCTTTTTTGCTATGCGGTAATTGTCTTGAAGTGGCGGATGATGCTGTCGCCATGGCAACTCCACTTGATAACGGCCATCTTTGAAGATGGAGGTTTCTTCGAACCGCTGCAGCGCCTCCACATCCTCTGGGCTCTCAGACTTCTCACTTGTGATGCCCAGGGACTGAAGCTCCCAAAATGCATACAGCTGTTTATCAATCTGTGCATCTTCACTGAGCTGAATATGCATACAGGTTGTCTCTGTCATGCTGGACACTGCTACTGGGCCTTGCACTGCCCATCCGAAAGTGCTCTCCAGTGCCATTAAGCTCTTTGTCAGTCTCTCTACTCTGCCTGATACTATCTGCCAGTAATAATCAGAGCCAATTAGCACAGAAAGTTCAGGGTTATCATCTCCAGCGCCGTCTGCTAGTTGAAGACCTCTGCTTTCCATTTCCCGTTGTGTAAGTTCACCAGGCACTTTCATCAGCGCAGTGCACACTTTGGGGGGGGGACAACTGCCTCGATTTCAATTCCCTGCTGACTATCCCATACATTCTCCAAGCTGAGCTTCACTATATTGCGACTCACCATTGTTGGAGCAGAGGAGCCAAATGTGTGAAGAGTAAGTGTCCCTTTTCTAGTAACGGGTAGCTGCAGCGCCTTCACCACATTCTCATGCACAAAACTCCCCTGACTGCCTCCATCTACCAAGCAGCGGACCATCTTCCTACTCACAGTTTCATGTTCTCGGATCACTCGGTGAGCGTGCACTTTCATCTCGACGACGCGGTCTCTGTATTCCTCCGCGACTTCAATCTCCGCCTCCACATCCTCCAGCGAAGTGTATTCCTCCACTATTCTGTCAAGCTTGCGCAAACTGTCCTCCTTTGTTCACAACACGGCTAACATGTCCCGCACACGGTCGATATCCTTATCTTCCTTTATTAATTCAGCATCAATCTGGTTTAGCAGTCTCGTTGTTGAACTCCTTTCAAGTTGTTCCACACCGACCGGTCGCTCTTCGTTATCTTCGTCCCTCATAGTTGTCTGTTTCCCGGGTTTCGGCACCAAAAATGTTACACATTTATCGTTTCTCAACTGGAAATAACGAAGTGAGACGCTGCTTCGTTTTGACGTTTAATAAAAGAAAACAAATAAAATTCAGCGTGCTTGTTCAGCAGTCATTCACATAATGGCGGTTGCCCAGAATGTCCAACATAAACATTACGTGGATCACGTGTCCACGCCCATCGATCAATGCCTAGTGGGATATGGAGTCAATTCAAAAATCAAATTAAACACAGAATGTTTTTTAACCACATATATCTGATAACATGAACTGTTATTCTTAGTGTTGGGTATCAAAACGTTAACTTATAAATCTTAACTTCACACTATTCTTTTAAATAGTCTTTTAGCTAATAAATTCTCAACAAAAAGATCACCGGGTCGATATTGATGTCCTGGCGCCATTTTGCAAAAACTCCCCATTTTAGAGAGTAAAGGCGCTTAATAGAAGGCGTGCATGCCTCCGCGAGTGTCTCACTCATTTCAGCAGTCATGAATGCATATTATTTCGCTCATTTAAGGTCCCTGAAGCGGCCACACATGAAGGTTCCACAGCTCGGGGCTCGGGTGCCATATCGTGCCATTCACCTGAGAAGACAGGTCCTTCATGAGGGGGATTCGTCATGAGGTAGCCACCATTATCTCTCTCAGGTCCGCAAACCAGGACTGGTTCGGGCAGTTCGGGGCCACAAGGATCACTGACGCTCACCGCATCTTCACCGGAGGGAATATGTAAAGCCTGACTTTCGGCCAATGCGATTGTCAGGGCATCTCCCGTCAGCGGGGAGTGAGATAGCGAGAAAAACGTCTGAAAGAGCGGGTTCTCGCTTGTGGCAAACAGATCAACGTCTGGGCAGACGTTGATCTGTTTGCCACAAGCGAGAACCCTCCCGAATCGATCCCAAATCATTCGCACCGATCCCTGATGAAGCCCTTGAGGAATCCTATCCTTGAGGAATCCTGTTCCTCGAAAGCATGTCCGAGACATGCTTTTGGTTTAGGAGACCTGGGATATGCGCCGCTCTGATGGTGAGGAAGTGTCGATCCACCCACAACAGGAGACTCGAAACCAGAGACATCTTGTCGGCTCAAAGTAGTACATGCTGCTTCTCCAACCTCGACCGAAAAGCTTCCAGGGCTAAGGATACCACGTTTAATTCCAAACAGTTTATGTGCCACTCCGACCACTGACCTGAGACAGGCACGCCAAAGCACACTTCTCCCCAGCATGAGGTTGACACATTCCATCAAGACCGTTGCATCACTATTCCCAAAGGCACTCCTGGGCTGAACATATCTTGAGAACTGAAGAAGCCGCCGCCATCAGCCCTTTCTGAGGCCCAAGAAGCCTCAGAAATTCCCTCAGTGAAACAGACCTGCCTGGTCTGAAACAGCGCAGAGTCCATTAAATTGTCACTATGAGCACTTGAGAGAGGTGGGCTCACATCGCCACGAGTCGAAACACGCCCAGATATGTTATAGTCTGACTTGGGATAGACATGCTCTTCTGCACATTCACACGCAGTCTTAGTGTATCCAAATGGCGAAGCAGTGTTTCCATGTGAATGATTAGCACATCCCTTGAGTGAGCTAAAATCAGCCAATAGTCCAGACAATTCAAAATGCGCATTCCACTCGCTCTGAGGGGAGAAAGCGCTGCAACCACACTTGGAAAAAGTAGGGGCAGCCCGAACAGAAGCACTGAATACTGGTATGCTGTGCCTTCGAAAGCAAATCTCAGGAAGCGCCTGTGGCACGTCGCTATTTGAATATGGAAGTATGCGTCCTTTAAAGGAGTGTTTCACCCATTTCAACATTAATCTTTATTGAAAGTGGATCATATATGTATTCGAATGTAAAATAATTTTTTTATTTGGTGCCCTCTTGACCGAGAGACCAAATAAACGAAGGGCGCATCTGTATGTAAGACAACAACTCCCACAATGCACCACATTACACAGCTCCACATTTCACAGTCTCTCACGGAGAAGTGAAAGCATAAAATGAGGAGCGATGATGGCAGATCGAGAGAGAAACAGACCTGATTTTATGATGTGTTTTGTTTCTGTTGTGTGTAACGTTACAGCAGTCGTCAATGAGGGGCTGCTGGCTTGTACTTTCGTTTTGTATTTGTTCATTTTACTATTTAAATGTTTCCCAGTTCCTGCCTCCTCCTTCCCACAACAACGAGCCCCGTTAACGTTACATTGGCTAACTCATTAGTGAATGACTCCTCGTTTGTATTTCTTTCTATATGTTGCATTACATGATACCTGGATGTTCAGTGAGCACGAAACTAGGATGGTTCACATCACAACACAAACGTCCGTGTGCTCGTCTGATTCAGAGATTTCCTCCAGGAGAAATTGCCATTGTTGAAATTCTCTGCAGCAGACGGACTCTATCTCTGTCCGTTGCATGTGTAACGGATGCCAGCTAGTAGTTGCTGTGCGAGTAAACCTCACTCCCCGATCTCAATAGGCGCTCTAGCGACAGACGCTAGAGGCTGCAGTCTTTAGCCTCCTTGTTAGAGCGCCTGACTCTCACGCCGGAGACCCGGGTTCGAGGCCCGCTCGGAGCGGGTCGAGTTGGACCCGGGTGTGAGGGGTTACACATGCAGTGAGAGCACATGCACCAGCAGTCCACCCAGCTCGAACCAGTCCGGGCTCCTCGACTGCGACACGCAGCCGCCTCCTGTTCCTCCATCAGCCTCAGCTGCACTTCACTAAATTGCGGCTCGTAAAGATAGCCACGAAGATCGGATTCGAGCAGTAGAATTTCAAAATCCTCTTCTTCTATATTTTGTTTAGTTTCTTTCGTCATTATCATACTTCCTGTCTCCACAGCGCTTGTTAGCTTAGCTTCCAAACAAGATGGCTGATATTGATTTAGTATGTGCAAGTGAAGTCCCACCCACTGATCTGTAATAGGCCTGTAGGGTGAGTGGGTCCCACACCCTTGAATAATAATGAGCTAATGTTTGTAGTCTCTACTTTGAATGAAATTGAAATGAAATTACTTCCTGCTTATCATGACGCAAAATGACGATTTTTACATCATAATAAGCAGGTAGTAAGACACTTAAATTCTTATTTCTCCCATCTCAGGGGAAAATAAGGGAATAAACCATGACCATTCAAAAATATGACTGGGTTTCTAAAGATACAAAGCTTAATGCAAATGGGTGAAGTGTCCCTTTAAATCTACTGAAGCGAACCAGTCCCCAGGATGGATTTGTGCCAGGATATAATTCAGTGTTGTCATCC